GGCTGGACAGTGATTTTTAACCCACAGGCTCAAAAGACCTCACAAGGCCCAGACATAACACAATAGCATCATTCATTTTTACTAAGTTCAATTTCTCACAAGTACAAAGAATATGATCAATTGAGAGGATGGGGTAGGGGGAAAGAAACCACGGATTCATTGATTCTGCCACTTTTATATAATCTGGATAAGCTGGCAGCAATGCCCTAGAACTCACTAGCCATGGGTTACAACAGAACTTCCCACAATAAGAGCCCAGTCAACCATTTTACCCTGCACTGTGCCCCATCTTCCTACATCTTGGGGTTGAATAATACTTTCTCCTCCCCATCTCCACATAGCACAACTCCTTAAAACAACATCCAAGTCCCCCCACAATTTACCACCTCATATCTTTCCAGCCTTCATTACCCTGGACTCTGACCACATCTTCACACCCCGCCCCCCCAAGATTCATCTTTTAAGAGACACATCATTTTCATCCTTCAAGTCCCTTTTGTGAAGTCTTCCCCAAAGTCAGAATTTAATTTTCCATTCCCTGGCATGCCAAGGGTCTTGGATTCTACAGCTGCTACCCAGTTATACAAACCAGCTGCTATGTACTGAAGTTAGCTGCGTCTTTCCCTCTCACTACCGCTCATTCTAGAGCCTCCTTTTTTTTTTCTTTTTTTTTTGGGGGGGGGGTACCAAATTACTTTATTTGAAGAAATGGTACAAATGAAAGAATGTAAGTAGATGATTTGGTACAACTTATAGAAAGGTCAAGGTAACCCCAACATGCATGTACTGCTTTGGTGACCGGGAAGTCACCCCCGTGGCTACTGGAAGCCAGCCAAAGCTTAGCTTGCATTACTGTCTCCCAGGGTGTGCTTGTCAAAGAGATATTCTGCCATGCCAGATTCAGGGGCCCCCATCTTGCGTAAGTTGGTAACATGGTCACCCAATTCTTTGATGGATTTCACCTGCTCGTTCAGGTAATGCGTCTCAATGAAGTCACACAAATGGGCATCATTTTTGTCAGTGGCCAGTTTGTGCAAATCCAGCAGTGACTGATTCACACTTTTTTCCAAGTGTAACGCACACTCCATTCACCCTTGTCCCTGCCACTAGAAAGGAATTCGGTAGTTGCTTATTGAATTAAAATATCCTTCTTTTCTCTCCACTCTAAGACATCCATAATAGTTCTCCATGAAACAGTTAAATAATGCCACAATAGGGACTTTTGGGGTAATGCGATATGCAAAAAAAAAAAAGACACGAAATAGGAGTATGACGCTGAGTTAATAAGGCCAGAACAGACTTTCAGGCTTTAAATCAAGAGCTTATGTTCAAGTTTTTATTACATCACACTTCACTTTCAAAATAAATCATGTTTCTCAATGGTGTTTGCATATTGGAACCAGAAAAATTAAGGAAAAGAAAGGCCACACATCAAGCACAGACATTAAAATCTTGACCTCAAACTAAGTTTCAAAAGTCTTATTATTTCCTGAACACTTGTAGCTTCCCAGTGAAAATGACAGTGTATTCTGCCCAGATTGCAACTTTTCTTACTAAGTATTTGAAATAAGGTTTAGGGACCTAAAAATCACTATCAGACTGAATGTCATTATGTATCAAAAAGACTTAGCAAGTAAGAATTTTACTTTCTTTGAATTTTCCAGTAGATCTAACAGATTCAGTCAGAACAGAATCAGCAAAACCTTGTAAAGACCATGGTATGATTTTTTTAATCAAATTACCCTTTAAAAAATATTAACTTCAAATGAAAACAGAAGTTTCAAAATGCACGTTGTTGAAAGGGCTGCCACTTACACGCCCAACTCTGTTATTTGTTTCCCATCATTCACAGGGATACTGAGATCCAGGCTGAGTGCTCACAGCACAGGGCAGCTGCTGACCCCCTGAAAGACGGTGCAAATGGAAGGAGCACAGCTCAGCTGCAGGGATCACCTGGACTCCATGTCAATTATAAAACTAAGCAGGTTCACACGTTTTAAATAATAAGGGTAATGGAAGATTGATCCAAGGGTGGGGGGAGTGTAATTGATGCCCTTGTGGAGGAAGGGGAAAAAAGAGAAAAATCAATTCCCAGCTCCAGGCTCTTTCCTTCCCCCTCCCGGAATCTCCTACTGCAGGTTTTCCTCCACCTCCTCGGCCCCCTTGCCCTCTGAGGCTTCCCTCCAGGACTACCCGCTTTACACTTCCCTTTATACCCTTCCTACTATCCTAACATGGGATAACTCCCGACCCGTTTCTAGTTACTTGGGGAGCAGCCAAGATCATCCATCAAACCCCTCCCTTTTCCAGAGGAGGATACCTAGACCGAGAACTAGCTGACCTGACTGGCGAAGGTCGCACCGCTAGGGGACGCGGCATGCGTGCGTGCTTGGAGTATGACAGTCCAGTCCTGCCGGCCTCCTTAGCCCGTGCCTTCCCGCCACACACTGCTTCTTTCTCTTGCTACTCGGCTTCTTTATCCTCAAATTAAACGGTATCAAGAAAAATGCTATCTTAACATACTTAAAATGCTGCTTGAATTGGGGGCAAATATGCTTACTCCCGCCCAGATTTGGAGAATCAAGGGCTGAAACAACCAGACAGGGGGTGGGTGGGGTGTGGATGTGTGTGTGTGTGTGTGTGTGTGTGTGTTGCAATTTAGTTCGGTCCAAACAGCCATAATTGCAGTATACACCCAGTTAGAGAATCAAGACCTGAAACAACTA